TATATATATATATATATATATATATATAGTTATAAAAGATAAAATGAAATATTTAAAAAATGAAGAAATAAAATAAAAAAAACTTACCAGCAGCACCAGAAATATTGTCCGTGTTGAGAAGAATATAAACCGTAAAAAGAGCAACGAGTCTTCGAACTCGTCCTCCAGACGACCTCATAGTCATCTTTAAAAAATCCGCGTCCTTTGTCGCAAATAAGTCAATCCTTTGGTCATATATATTATGTGTATATATCCTCGTAACACAGTTAAATAATACCAATAAAACAATAACAATTATTTTTATAACAAATAATAAATAATGTATGTTTTGCTTTTAAAATAACAATATAAACGAACTCCCGAACTTTCACACGCTGAAACGGTTCCACCGAGTTCTCTTCATTGTCCAACGCAGTGTCTACTTCCTTTTTAGACTTATCACAATCCAAACAATCTGACGAAGAAAATAGTCTTATTTTTCTTTCTGCAACAATTAACAATTCGTTACATTAAATAAAAATAATACATAATAAATATTTAAGAGACGTGACGTAAAAAATCGTTAGATAAACAATACACTTTAAGCCGTCGCCGAGGAAATAGTTTCCAAGGTAAATAAAAAATAATAGTAATAATCACCTGTCTCTAATTAATTTCCGTGTCTTCATTTTTAAATTAATCTATTACTTTAGCGTTAATTGTGTAATTATTTTATTTGTTATTTGTTAATAAAATAATTGTATTTCTTCCTCGCTCTCCATCCGGGAAATGTCAAATTGACGTTCATGACACAAATAAATATTTTTTACATTATCTATTATTACAGTCATTAAATAACCATCAGGATAATGCGATTATTATCATCGCGTAGATTGACAATCAGTTTTTCTAAATAATTCGTCAGATTAATATTTCTTCACAGGTAAATATTTAAAAACTTTCACTTTTTAAAACCAGAGCACAATAAATAATTTATTATTTTATTTTATAAAATAGTCACTGGGTTATTTAAACATAAAATATATCACTTTGCTTTAAACACACATTCACCTGGAATACAGTCAAACATAAACCTGGCAACCCTGTGGACTCTTTTTACCTGGCATCAGGTTGTGGCTTCGTTACCCTATTGTTCCATAAAAAACTTTTACATTCACAAACGTTTTTTTTTATTTTTTAATTATTATTCTTCGTAGTTATTAATTTACTTGCTGGTACGTGTAATTGAATTTACGAGTACGTAAAGTGATGAAGAGTACGTGAAATAAATAGTAAATGAATGAGCTCGTGGTCGAACGCGAATCCCGCCGAACGCACGTCAAAGACTCGTTTTCTTTCTTGAGAAGTTTGGAATGTAACTTGAATATACACAACGGTAGGAACTCGATTTGTATTGGTAGAATGACCGGCCAATCCTCGCAGAGGTGCATACACCATATGCTGTATTTACTTTCGAGAGCGGGGATCACTTTTTAAATTGACAAGTGTACTTCCAGTGACATCTATTGGCTGTTTTCATTACTTCTCAGATCAAACAGGTGATTTTCATTTTTTTTTGTTTTTTTTTTTTTTTTTTTCAAATGAAATTATAAAATATTTATATCAATATTAATTTATGATACTTAAGTTAGCCGACGTCTTAAATTTTTTGATTTTTTTGTAATAATAAATTAGAACAAAAAAATATTTTTAAAAAAATTTGCATCATTTCAGTTTTTTTTTTTACAAATGAAATTTTTTTTTCTTTTTTTGTAATATCATTTTTTCATTAAAAAAAAATTAAAAAATTTTTAAATGTCGGCTAACTTAATTTTCAATAATAATAAAGTTAGCCGACATTTTTTATTTTTTTATTTTGCTTAATTTATTAAATTATAACTAAAAAATATTTTTAAAAAATTGCACTTATAGTTTTTAACAAATGAAAAAATTTTTTTTATTTTTTTGTAATGATTCTTTAATAAAAAACATTATAAAAATTTTTAGATGTCGGCTAACTTTATTTTCATTAATTTTCAAAATTAATTTAGCAGATATTTAATAATTTTTTTTACAAATACATTTTGACAAAAAAAAAATTGAGATATTTTAAAAAATTAAAAATGCAATTTTTTTTAATAATTTTTCTGAACAAATTTGTTTGTTAAATAAAATTAAAAAGTTGTCAAGTGACTGCTAACTCTAATGACATATTTATGACACTGAGTTTGACAGATACCTAAAAGTTTTTTATAAAAATTAAATTATAGTGAAAAAAATTTTAAAAAAAAATTCTATATAAAGAAATTTTAAAAATTTTAAGTGCGAATTCTACAGAATTTATTTTTTATAGTTGATTAGTTATAAAAATTTCAAGAATTATTACGTCTGCTAATTTCAGTACCATAAACATTTTTCAATTGCACATAAAATGTAGGTATCAATAATTTTTATATAATTTGAAGAATATTAAACTCTACAAAATTTCGAGTTGAAAAACTTAATGCTAAGATTAATGAATTAAAGGATTTGTCAAATAATAAAAATTATATAGTTGTTAATTTGCATCAACTTTTACTGATCTTTTATTAAAAAATCAACAATTAAAATTGATACAAGAATTTTTTTTTTTTTTAATTTTTCTTATAAATTATTCAAAAGAAAAATCCTAGGATTTTGCCTCCCAAGTGTTTTCTTCTTGCTTCTTCGTGGTCCATGATACCTCCACTGGTTGTCAAGACAACGTATCTGTTAATAAAAAAATATATATTAATTAGAATGAATAATTAATGATAATTCATAATAATATAGTAAATATAAAATTTTAATGAAATTAGGCAGCTATTTATTTTGTGGGTTGTATAAGTAGTTTTACAAAAAAAATAATAATAATAAAAAGAAGTTACAACTCTTTGTGAGTATTTTTTAAATTTTCATTGTGATATTATTTAATTTAAATAGAAAAATTTTAATTTTCGACTGTTAGCTATATTAGATAACAAATTTAATTGTTTTGGTTAACATATTTAATGAAACTTCGTAAATACAACATTAAGTAGTTTAAGCATTAATATTTTATCGTTATTTCCGAAAAATTATTGTTTTTTACCTTTCAAGTTAAATTAGTGAAATAAATTACAAATAATCAAAAAATTTTGACATATTTACAGGTGTTCCATATAAAAGTCTACCATGAGTACATCTATATCAATAACGTCTTTCCAATATCAGATATACCATAAGTAATCTCTAATATTTTAAAAGTTTACCAAAATAAATCTCAAAAAGTTTATCAAAATAAATCTACCAGAATATAATCTTACCATAGTAAAAATGTACCCGAAGTATTTTTACCATATTGAAACACTACCAGAAAACATGCATGTAGTATTTTAATATGGTACAAATATTTCTGATACTGTTTTAATTTGATAGGCTTTTATTTAGATAAAAATCTCAACCGGTAAGCTTTTTATATGAAACAGAATACATATGGACTATATGATATGAGAAAATTTACATTGGTATACTTTTATAGGGTACATTGGTAAATACGCCAAAATTTTCAGAAATTTTTGAAAATAATAATAATAGTTAGCAATTACTTGTTAAAAAATCTGACAATTTGATAATTTACTCCAAAATCACATCAAAATTTAATATGATTCAAAATTTGCAAGAAAATTTGAACTTATCAACACAGAAAATTTTTAAATATTGTAAATTGTTCAAAGGGATGTTTAAAAATATTTAATTTAATAGAAATGATGCATAAAGATACTCTAAAAGTTAAATAAACAATGTAAACGTTGAATAATTATTGGAGTAATTGTCATTGTTTTATAATATATTTTAAAAATTAGAACAATTAAAACATTCATGAAAATGAGATTAGCCGACATTTAAAAATTTTTGGAAATTTTTTATTGGAAAAATTTATGTTAAGCAATTTTATAAAAAAAATTTCACATGTGAAAATCTTGAAAAACAATAAGTGAAATTTTTTAGAAATATCTTTTTAGTCGTAATTTAATTAATAAAAAATTTTTAGATGTCTGCTAACTTCTGTGTAATTCTTTTCAATATTTAAAAAAATAATATAAAAAATAAATGAAAATTACCCAAATTGACGAGAAGGCAAGAGATTGTTCGTCCACTTCTCAATATCAGTAATTGGAACATCAAATCTTGGAGAGATAACTCCACATTTGTTCAACCTTCCGGAAAGGTTTACAACAATTTTACCACTACGGTGGTCATCAACAATTTCAAATTCGCCGATGTAACCTTCAATCAAAATAAATAATCAATACAAAATTTTCCTAAAAAGACAAATAGTAATTAAAAAAATAGAAAAAAAAATTACCATGCTTCATCATCACAGTAAGAAATTTGACGATGACTTTGGAGCAAGGTCTCAGAAGCACTTGCCTCTTGTTGCGTTTTTCAGCATTGTTAATACTCTTGAGAGCATCACTGAGAACATTCATTCGCACCATGGCTGTGAAAAGCAATAAAAAAAAATTAGTACACAAAAAAATAATTAAACAATGCACGTCACGTTGCAGGGCAAGTGATAGATCATAACCTCACTTAATAGCACTCTACTTAACGCTTGACAAATAACTTAATTAAATACCAAGGGTGAAAAATATAGATCGTTAATTAATCAGCGATAAATATTCTACCAAAAAAACGATAAATAAAAATTTATTTATTTAATTAAAGATGGATTACCTGCGATTTAATTTTTGTTTATCGCGGACCGACTGACACGAAAAATTCGCTCGTGTGTAAAGGACCTAAGTTGTGAACGTTCGTTGGAACCAGCCCTCGAAATGAATTCCGACCAATCATGTGTCTTTAATTTTTTATCGACAGTAGGGAAGAAATAAAATAATTTAATAATTTTTTTTCCAGATGGCGTGTGCTGCCAAAATTAAATGGCAAATGAACTATACATACTGTTATTATTATTATTATTATTATTCACTGTTCCTGTTGTTAGAAGATTAACTAGACAGTTCGTAACGTCATCAAGAAGTCATTACTAAGTGTAGCATTACATTACCAGTGCCACGTAATTTTAGTTTTCATTATAATTACAATATTGAACCGCTTAAATTTTTAGCGAGTTATTTAAAATAAAAAAATTTATTAATGATAATATTAAACACTATTAAAGGTAATTTAAAGCAGGTTAAATAATGGGCTCGTCACAGAGTGTCGAAGTACCTGGTGGTGGAACTGAGGGTTACCATGTCCTGAGAGTTCAAGCTGGATCACCGGGCCACAAAGCCGGACTTGAGGCATTTTTTGACTTTATTGTGTCTATTGGGAACATCAGGCTGGACCAAGACAATGACACGCTAAAGGACATATTAAAATCAAATGTAGATAAAGAATTACAACTGACAGTTTACAACAGTAAAAATCAAACTGTCCGACAAACAACAATAGTACCGAGTTTGACATGGGGTGGACACGGTTTGTTGGGTGTCAGCATACGTTTTTGTTCATTTGAAGGAGCTAATGAAAACGTATGGCACGTATTAGAGGTTCATCCGTCGTCACCAGCTGAGCTGGCTGGCCTCAGATCCTTCACTGACTATATTATCGGCGCTGATTCGGCTCTGCATGAAAGCGAAGACCTATTTACGCTAATTGAAGCCCATGAAGCTAGGCCTTTGAAACTGTATGTCTACAACACTACTGATGATTCGTGTCGGGAGGTTACTATTACGCCAAACTCCAAATGGGGAGGAGAAGGCAGCCTTGGTTGTGGAATCGGCTACGGGTATCTTCATAGAATACCTATTAGAAATTTATTTGACAATAAATTATATCCAAACCCATATCAGGTAACTATTTTATACAATTATTTTTATTTTCTTATTTATTGTTTGTTGATAAATTACTTTTTTTTATTTTTAGACCAACGTTAAAACTCCGATTGCAGCACAAGCACAGCCAGTTAATTATAAGCCACCGGTTAATAACAATCCTGCTGTTACAACAGTACCTCCAGGGTTTACTATTCCACCTGATTATGTTTCGACTACTGCTGAAGTAATGCAACCTGGTGAAACTTCTACAGTTGTTACACCGACGATACCAACGATACCCATCCCTACGGTACCAGTGCCCCAATCAATGCCGATAGATACGTCCGCACCACCTAAGTTCATCGATCCCGCTATTGCTGGTGCGACAACAACTACCAGTTCAGCCGCCAATTTCTTCAATCAGCCTAATTATTTACAAAGTATGTTCAAAGTTCATTTTTTAATTGATGTAATTTTTTTTTTTTTTAATTTTCTATCATGGCTGGAATAAGCAGACTTTTAATGATTTTTTTATTTTATTTATTAATTAAATTAGAACTAAAAAAATATTTTTTTTTAAACTACATTTATAGTTTTTTTATTAAGAAAAATTCAAAAAATTGGCGGATATATAATCTTATTTTCTATTTTATATATTCATGCTTTTTTTTTGGTAATTATTTACAAATAGGGTCAAGTCCATTTTGGGCCATAACTAGGTGAATAATTAACATTTAAAAATTTTTTTTTATTCTGCTTATTTTTACGGCCAATTTATGATAAAAAATACCGTAAAAATAAAAATTAAAGATTTTGATAGCTTTTTTTGTATTTAAAAGTTGGAAAAAATATTGGCTTTCATTTTTTTGGATAAAATTTCTCTTTTATCTTTTTTTGATGTTTATGATATATTTTTTTTAAAAGTACGTAAAAAAACGAACAATTAAAAAAAAATTGATCAATTTGATCAAAACAAAAATTCATTAGAAAAAAAATTGGTAAAATTAAAAATGTGTTAAAAAATTTCCACTAATAATTTTTTTCAATTTTCACAAGTGGAATTTGTTGGTCAACCATTTTAATTTTCATTTTTTTGAACGAAATTTCCATTTGATTCTATTGATATATTTTTTTTTCGAAAAATACATAAAAAAATGAACAATTAAAAAAAAACAATTAATCAAAATTTTAACAAATTTTCAAAAAAATTCATAAATTTTTTAAAAAATTGGGATATTTAACTTTTTTTTTTAATTGTTCGTTTTTTAATGTACTTTTCAGAAAAAAAAAATATGTCAAAAAAACATAAAATAGAAATTTTATCCAAAAACATGAGAGCCAAAATTTTTTCCAACTTTTGAAGGCAAAAAATGCTATTGAAATCTTTATTTTTTTCTTTCATGACATTTTTTATCATAAATTCGCCGTAAAAATAAGCAGAATAAAAAAAAATTTGAAAATGTTAATTTTTCACCTAGTCATGGTCCAAAATGGGGTCGACCTCACTTGTAAATAATTACCTTTTTTTTTACTCAAAAGTTACGGGTAGAATAAAAAATTAAATTTTCTAAAATTAAAAATTAATGTTATCGAGATACTGTTATATGATTTTTTCAAATTCAATTTTTTGTAAAAATTTTATTAATTTTTGTGAAGTAATTGTTAAAAATTATAATCAAAATTTAAATATTAAAAACTATTTACAAGTCAGTAGTAATATGACGATAAGTCTATCAAACCCATTCATAATAGAAAAATAAATTACAGAGAATAATACCATAGATTATAAGTGTAATAAATACTCTAATTGACTTATTAACTTATTGATTCAGATGCAGAGCAAATGTATCAAAGTACACCAAGTATACCCGGCATGCCAGTAGCACCACCAGCCCAAGCATTCCTTGTGGATACATCAATTCCAGAGTCATCGCCGAGTCTTCAATACAGTTTCAATTCACCACCAATGCCGCAACAAACGAACATGTCAAATATGCCGTACTTATCACAGCCCCAGGTGGTAACGACACCAATTTCACTTCCTGGCATGCCTCCCATCACCGTTTCAGCAAGCTTACCACAAACCAGCAACTTCTTTCCAATGCAAGATCAAAATCAAATGACAAACACCACAAATGTTCCTATGACTTCTGCTACGGCACAATAAGATTAATATAATATCTACATAAAAAAAATTAATCAACATCGTCTGAATTATTTTCAGATCAATATATCAAGAGGATAAAGCTAATGGATAAATGAAGATAATACAACTATTTTATAATAAATGCATTCAACAAATATGTCCATTTTATATAAATGATAAACAAACTAATTATTAATAATGAGCTTCTTATTTTAATGTTGAGAGCTCTGTGTAAATATGATTGGATCATTTTGGAAAATTTTAAAAGTTATTAATAATTAATATAATACTAATTTAAAAATATATCAATTTATAATCAATAAATATGTATGGCATAACCCCTTGGTTTTTATTATATTTCAAATTAATTTATTTATAAGTTTTAGATAGTTATTAAACTTATAGCCATATTATAAATTAAAAGCCAAATTTTAAAATTTAAAAATTGCTTGTATTATTTTATTGCTGTTATTACTTTAATGAATTTTTTATGACCAGAAAAATTACCTAACTTAAATATGTGTAAGGTAAAAGATCTAATTACTGACAGTGACCCAGTTGTTTGATACTTGCAATTTTATTCCAATTAAAAAAATTGAATGTTCTCAAAAAACCAATTATTTAAGAATTTATAATTCACAAATTGTATTTAATAATTTATTGAAGTTGGCTTTTTTTTTTTTAATTAAAATAAAATTGCAAGTGTCAATAATGATACGGAATATAACAGGTATTTAACAATTTTTTAGATTTTTGTAACAATTAAATTATAATGAAAAATATTTAGCATCAAAAATTAAAAGTGCGATTTTCTTTAAATATTTTTTTATGATTGATTGATTATAAAAATTGTGAGATTTCTGCTAATTTCAGTATAATATATAAAAAAAAAATTCAAATAAATTAATAAGACATGAAGTTTAATACTTACAAGACTGTAGAATAAATGGAGTAATTGGTACTATTTATAAATTTGATAAATATTTAATACGTCAATTTGAAGAAAAAATAAAATTAATTATGACACTTAAGTTGACTTTGGAAATTTTTTTAGAATTTTTTAACAATGGAATTATTAATAAAAAAATTATAATAAATAATTACTAAAGTTAACCGACGTTTTAAATTTTTTGATTTTTTTTAATTAATTAAATTAGAACAAAAAAATATATTTCAAAAATTGCACTTACAGTTTTTTCAAGTTTTTTTACAAATGAAAATTTTTTTTGTAATAATTTTTTCAATAAAAAAAATTATGAAACAAGTTTTTTACAAATGAAAATTTTTTTGTAATAATTTTTTCAATAGAAATAAATTTAAAAACTTTTCAGATGTCGGCTAACTTAATTTTCATAAAAAATTCCACATGTGAAAATTAAAAAAAAATTTTGGTGAAAATTTTTAGAAGCATTTTTTTAATAATACTGAAGTTAGCCGTCAATTATAAATTGAAAAAATTTTAATAACAAATCAATTGAATTAAAAAAATTTTTATTAAATTTTATATGTGGAATTTTTTTAATTAAATTTTTTTTTATAATTATTTAATTGCTATAAAATTCTAAAAAAATTTTTAATGTCTGTCAACTTCAGTGTCATTTTTTTATTGTTATTAATTTGTTATAAAAATTAAAAAAATTAATAGCTGTCAGCTAACTTCAGTATCATAATTAATTAGTATGAAAATTAAGTTAGCCGAAATCTGAAAATTTTTAGAATTTTTTTTATTGAAAAAATTGTTACAAAAAAAACATTTAAAAAAATTTTCATTTGTAGAAAACTTGAAAAACTAAGTGCAATTTTTAAAAATATTTTTTTGTTCTAATTTAGTTAAAAAAAAAAAAAAAAAAATTAAAAACGTCGGCTAACTTTAGTATTATTTAATTAGTTATGATTTGTGATATATAATAGTACTAATAATTAGCGAGTTTTTAAAAAATAAGAAAAAAAAAAAAACAAATTTAACATTTTAAAGTAAATATTATATTCTACCCCTTCTTACATAATTTCAATTACAGATTTTAAGATTTACTATGTATATAAATATTAACAATCATCGTTTGTTCTTATTCTAATTATTTATAATGACAGTGTAATTTAAATAATAATCTCAGTATCACCAAGTTCTTCATCATTGGGCAGAGTGAATTTAGATGGATCAATGAGGTTTACGTCGATGGGGCTCAAACCGTGGTCTTCTCTGTACCGCAGACGGAGGTAAGCTTCTCGCTGGGCCCAGTCACGGCACTTGGGGTCTGGCAGATAACAGAAAATAGCACCAGACAAAATAATGCAGATGGTGAGACCGAAGAAGAACGTCAAGTGCGCTAGCAGCCTGTCGAACCATTCCTCTTCATCACTGAAACCCCAACTGACCCAGTACTTTGTTTCAGCAACATCAGCAGAACTCTGTTGCTGTGTCACAGGAGAACTAGCGCTTGCTTGGGCCTGGGTTGGCTTCGACGAAGTGTTGACAAAACGCAGTGATGGTATTGTTGCTGTTCGTGGAATTGGTACAATAATTTTCACCAGCCGAGGATTTTTGGCCAGTGATTTAACGATACCACTCCTCAGCAGTTGGTTCGCACTTAGACGGACTAAGTTGGCCATTATTCACTAGTATTTATTCTATTATTTTTATAAACTTACTACTGTGTTTTTTTGTCACTTTTTTATGTTACGAAACCGTCCACGATTTTGTACTTGGATAGGTTAGGGCTTACTACTATTTATTACGACATCTAGTGTTACGTTTTCTAATTTTTTTTGTTTTTAAAAATTATAAATTTTATTCATAAAAATTTTATTTATAATTCATAAAAATTTTATTTATAATATGATAGTGATGAAAAATCAATATTTTTGACAATTATAATTTTTTATGAAAATTAAATATATTACCAAAGTTAGTTAGCCGACGTTTCTAATTTTTTTTTTTTTTTCATTTATTAAAATATTTTTACAAAATTGCACGGGGTCATCTGAGTGATCCGAACAGAAATGTAGCCAATGTAATAATTGTAAAGGAATTCAAAAAGTAACTTGCTCTTTAACAAGTTATATACATTTAATAACTTCATACATAACACTTATATATGTCAAATAATAGTAAATTCTATATAATAAAATACACACATTAAAACATTTAAATATCATATTTATGAAAAAAATTAAACTGTAACCCATGAAACATTACAAAAGAACGACAATTGATCTGTCTTCTAAGTCTTCAAAGTGTCATAAGTAAGAAATTAGTTGTCGGTAAGATAAATTTTTTTAGGTAACTGGTGGTGGAGGAAATTTAAATTATATAATCTAAATTCAAACAACCTTTTTATTCTAAATAAGAATAATTATTCTTGAAAATATTTATTGTTTTTATTTATTAAAATATACAAATATTGATTACTAAAATAAAACAAAAAATCGCTTATTTAATGAGAAATTATTTATTTTTCTTTATAAAGTAATTTTTTTTTAATTATATAAAATATTAAAATCAAACTGTTTTTTATTTGTTTCAACTTAAACTATTATTTATTTATACACCGTCTCAACATTTATCAATAATTACGTTCTTGTCATATGAATATTATAAAACAAACAATAATTTTTTATATATATGTAATTAGAATAACATAAAAAGAAAAAATTATTTATTTAAATATAATTCGTTTAAACTAAGATTAAAGTTAAAAAAATATAAGAATATCAGATATAATTAGTAAGTTCAAAAATATTAAAAAATTAAAAAAAAAAAACGCACACCAAGTACGTTCCAAAATTTTTTTTTTTTAATTTTTAAATTTACAACAAAATTTTTTCTAATTTCGGAAAATCATATACAATCATATCGGTTACTTGGATTTTTTAATTTTTTTATTTTAACTTGTAATTGCACTTTAAACATTGGGCAATATTTTTACCATTTAACTTTTCAATCACAAAATCATTTTCTTTTAAAAATGATTGATAAAGTTTTTTTTTGAATGCACTCATTTTGAGATAAAATTAAAAGTTTAGATTAGTTATTGCGAAAACTGTTGAAAGACGGTTAGAATTTTAAAAATGTACAATGTCCAATGATAACCACCAGGTGGCATACAAATCGACGTATAATACTGGAATTTAAGTATTTTACGTAGTTTACGTAAAATACGTAGGAAACTGCTCGTTACGCGTAACTACTCACCCCTGCTTATGACTTAGAAGGACTTAGAAGACAGATCAATTGTCGTTCTTTTTTAATGTTTCATGGGTTACAGTTTAATTTTTTTCATAAATATGATATCTAAATGTTTTAATGTGTGTATTTTATTATATAGAATTTACTATTATTTGACATACATTAAGTGTTATGTATGAAGTATTAAATGTATATAACTTGTTAGAGAGCAAGTTACTTTTTGAATTTCTTTACAATTATTACATTGGCTACATTTCCGTTCGGATCACTCAGATGACCCCAATTGCACGTATAATTTTTAAAATTTTCTACATGTGAAATTTTTTCAATTATTTTTTTTTTAATTTTTTCAATAAAAGAAATTCTAAAAATTTTTAGATGTCGGCTAACTTTATTGTCATAAAAAATTTTTATTTGTAAAAATCTTTAAGTGCAATTTAAAAAAAAAATATTTTTGTTTCAACTTGATTATTAAAAAAAAAATCAAATGATTTAGAACGTCGGCTAACTTTAATGACATTCAATAGAAGACTTTATATAGCTGCGCTATCAGTGACACCAAAACAAATTTTTATTTTGGGTGTAAATAACAGAGATTATGGAGGAAAAAGGTCCTTAAAGGTCCTCTACAAATATACTATGTATCAATACTATACAAAAAATAGTATATATCCTACATAGAATTTTATTGCTCAAAATTTTAACATTAAAAAAATTTCTTTGTTTTTATTAGTAATTGTCTCCTCTACATATCTTTCGTACAAGCTCGAAGTTTTTTTATTTCACCTACACGAAATATGGGAAAATATCGACGTAAAGTATGTTCTGCACCAAATTGTCAAAGTGGTACCAGTAAGCAACGTAATTTGAACAAAATAAATAATGTTCCGAGCAACATACTATTTTCATTTCCTAAGAAGGTAAGAAACTTGATTTTACTATTAATTACAACCCCTTAAATAATTTTTAGACATAAAAATTTTCTTTAACAAAATTTTATTTAATTATTTATCACAATTAATATATAAAATTATATGTATGATTTGAAGAAACCTCAAAAATTTAATTTTCAAAAAAATATCATTGGAATAAAACTTTTTAACCTCTATACGGATCTCTTTCAAACGTGAAAATATTATATTATCATACGATAAATTTTTAGGGCCAGTTCAATCCAAGATAAAATTTTATCCAATGCTAAAATATGTCTACATATTTTATGTATATATGAATATACTGATAATAATAATTTTATGCTGGGTAAAATTTTATTCCTGATTGAAAAACTGGTCCTGAAAGTTTCGATGTATTTACTCTGTTATTTATCACATATGCGATCTGTTAACTAATCATTTAATTTCAGGGTACTGCAACACGTTTTGAATGGGAAAGATTTATCGGACGTAAAGCCTGTGATATGAAGAAGTACTGTGTGAACTTCATTTTGAGGAGGAGGATATTCAACGAAATTATACTGGTAACATCACTATAAATAATGAGACTACATCATGGTCGGTTAAATCAAACCAAATCAAAGGTATCTTATACCCGCTGATCTCAACTAAAAGTAAATTAAGTATTAAAAATAAACTTATTCTATATAAAATGTTGATAAAACCTGTGTTACTTTATGGATCTCCAATATGGAGCAATACATTTAAGACTAACATTAATAAAATTAAAACTGTTGAAAATAAAATTTTAAGAATGATAAGCAATGTAAGTTCGGACATATCGAATAAAACTATAAGAGAAAATCTTAATATTAATGAAATATATTGTGATATATTTAATCAAACTAAAATATTCTATGAACAAAGAACTAAACACCTAGAAGAACTAAAAAATGTTGGAATATACAATAATAACATCGCTCCATTTAAACTCAAGTATAAACTACCTCATAGTATACTCTTAGACTAAAACAAACCATCATAACTTTGTAAATTTTGTATATTTTGTACATATTGTTAGCTAGTCTTAAGTTTAGCTTGTAAGTAAGCCTATGGCTTTAAAATTCAAGTGGTTTTTTAAACTTTTCCCACAAATCTAATTCCAAATAATCTAAAAAATACAAAAATATATTTTAATAATACAAACATTTGTTAGAATCTACGGATAGAAACAAGTATTTTTAAGCTATTCTCATGTAACTTACTCATGTAATACAAATTCAAAAATAAAGATATTTATTAAATGAAAAAAAATGGTCGGTTAAACGTTTTAGGCCAATTTTATTGGAAACTGCAGTTCCCAAAAATAATGTAGTTAAAGCAACTGATATTGAGGATGGTAATATAATTGAACTTAATTTTTATAATTTCGAAGCTACATTGAATAAAAAAATTTGTATTTTTTTTTGTAAGGTATCGTAATCGAGCAGCTGACCGATCCAAATATAGTTGATGAAACCAAAGATAAAATAAGACCAGTTTTATCTAAAACCGCATGCACAATTCCAACGAACGTAATTAGAGTAACTAATATTGAGGAGTTAGATGAAAATAAAGGATTAATTGATACAACAGTTAATGAAAACGAAGTACCTGAAAGTAATGAAGAACAAAGTATTATTGATACAAACAAAACCACAGTCGAAGAACTTCCGTCAACCCTTAACAAAATCCTAGAAATATTTAAAACTCTAATAAATATTTACGATGCTACGATCTACGAGGTATCAGAAAAATTTATATTAGTCATGTTTATGCGAATAAAAAATATACATGTCAACATCGTATTGTATATATATATATACTAATCTTTCAATCGAGATAAATATTTTCACTTTCCACTTATTAAAAGTCAATATAGTGTAAATTTAATAATTAATATCAATACAGGTGATAATGTACAAAAAATTTTATTTTGTTTAAGAAATTTTTTAAATTGAAACTTTTTTTTTATGAAAAATTAATTTTATATTATGAAAATTAATTTTATTTTAATTTACAAGCATGTATGGATTACAAACATTCCATGCTTGTAAAGGTGGACCATCTTAAAAACTCCACTGACCATCTCACAGCATAAAACAAATTTTATTTTGTTTAAGAAATTTTTTATGAAAATTAATTTTATATTATTAAAATTAATTTTAAATTATGAAAATTTTTATTTCATAATGTATGTCATTTATGTTTATGTAATTTTTTTTTCATTGTAGGTTTTAGCAAATAAAAAGCTCTTCGAAGTTGAAAAAAAATTTATTAAAACTAAGTACGATTTAGAAGAAATTATGCACACAATAAATACAATGTTAATATGTGATGGTACTGGATGTTGTGAACAAAAAGAAGTAGATATATTAACGCAAATTATAAATTTTAATACCCCTGAGAACTTAACTTATCTACATTGATTTTAGATATTCCAGCGATTGCTGTTTCATTGTGAAACCGCATAAGACGTACAATAAGATAGGACGCGTAAGATGCGAGCACTGTAAAAAACTCCAAAAGAAGATATCACGCACCAGAAAAATTGAGCAAAGAAAATCCGAAAAGAGAAAGGAAATTAATAAGAAAGTGAAGAAGATGAAAGCAGAAAATGCTCGTCTTAAAGCAAAGGTAGTGCTATTTGTAAATTGTTAAAATTTTTTAATACTCATACATCAGTATGTAATTTTCTTAATAGTTTATATAACTTCATATATTTTACTTTCAGACTGATAAGTTGAAAAATCATCTCGATAATACTCGTACACGTCTCAAGGATATAAAAAATAAACAGATTAAGGATCTTATTAAAGAAAATATTGCCTCCGCTCATATTGAAATGGTCAAAGCATCCTAGCAGCTGCTAAAAAAAAAAGTCTGATCTTGAAAATTATGTTTGTATCTTAGCTGGACTTCGAATACGATTTGAAATATTAATTTATTACATAGACAGAAAGACGATCAGACATCGAACGATTGGACTATCTGTTAAATAAAGTATAAAAATTGATCAAAGTAAAAAAATATACAAAAAAGATGAATTTATTCAAAGATAGAATATGAAAAAAAAATAAATTATATGAAAGAAAGAAAAATTGGTGATAGCAGTATTAATACATACTTTTATGTGGAACTTGTTGACTTATAAATAGCAAAGTTGATTAAATTCAAGTCCAATAAAGCTATAAGAGATTTTAATAATATATTAATTGATAAAGAATTTTATAATTTTTTACTATCGTAATATTCTTTATAAACAGTTACATTAAGTATGCGAAAAATAAAAAATATTTTTGGAAGAATCTAAAGAACTTCTTTCTAGTTTGTTAATTAATCACTTGTCTTTTGATTGTTATGTTACGTATCAGAATATGAAATATTGAACGAAAAAATTAGTAATAGCAGTTACACTGTTGAAAAGTTGTTGACTTGTGAAATTAATGAGTTAGTTAAATGATGTCTTTTAGAGCCATGAGAAAATTTGACATATGATAACTGAGCAAAATTGTCTCAATATGATAAGAGGAGAATATTTTTGGATTGAAAAATTTTTTAAATGCTATTTGCAGAAAATTTATATTTATTTATCAAGATAGATTGACAAATTTGCAGTTCTTATTTTACATACGAATTATAGAAAATTTGTTTTTTAATTCCACTTTCAAAAATTGAAACAAAATTATGAATATAATTTTTCAAAAATATTTTTTAGTACTAATTTATTCTTTAAATAAAACAAAAAAAAGTTTTATGTCTGCTTATTTCAGTATTATGGAAATTTTATGGTACTAAAGTTAGCCGACGTTTTCAATTTTTTGATTTTTTTTTTTTTCAATAATTAAATCAGAACAAAAAAATGTTTTTAAAAAATTGCACTTACAGTTTTTCAAGTTTTTAACAAATGACAATTTTTTTTCTTTTTTTTTGTAGTCATTTTTTAAATAAAAAAAATTTTTTTAATTCTTAAATGTCGGCTAAGTTAATTTTCATGGAAATTTTTTATTTTTTAAGTATTAATAAATAATTATAATTGTAAATAGTTTATTTTTAATTATAATTGAATTGAAATTGAAAAATTTTAATTTAAGATTTAGATATAACTTTTAATAAATTCAATGAAAATTTTATCATGGTTAATCTTAAGATAAAATATCTCGAATTTCTGATAAAAAATAAAAATTGTAAATAATTAAGTTTAAAGTACTCAATTGTTATATTAGTGTTATTAGAAAATTTTATTACAGAGGACTTTATCCCGTTGCGCCATCAGTGACACTAAAACATTTCAATACAAAATTAATTCTATTGATCTCATATGTATACAGGTAAACACAATATTTTTTAATATTTATGAAGAAATTGCGCGTATTTAAGTAATATTTCAGTATTGAAACAAAATACTTACGATAAGAAAGTAAATAAATAAACTGATATTTATTAATTTGTGGTTAATATATTTCTGAACTCTAAATTCACTTAACCTAATAAATTTTCAATCATGACAAATCTTGTAAGTAGTTATAAAAGTGGAATTTATTATTACAATTTTTGATGTTTAATTAATCATAAAAAAATTACAGAGAAATACCATGGAGTCGGTTGATCCCCAACATTATGAAAGATTGAGTAATTACGTTGACTTATTTGCAATAAAGTGTAAGTAGCTGTCAATCTTAAAACCGATTATTTTAATAATTAATTAATTAATTGTAGATTCTAAAATGAAGAAAAATTTCAATAAATTCATGATTGATGCACGAGTTTATGAAATATTAGACCAAATATTAAAATATTTAATGTCGCATCCAATTTTGACAGCTTTTTGTCTGCTACTGGTAGCAACATTCGTAATTCCTATATTTTTGTTCATATCTTTCGCCCTTATCAACGTCGCATTTGCACTTACTGGATTTATTGTCGTAGAAGGTAAGCCTGACAGGGAAGTATTTATGACATGTCATTAAAGTTAGCTGACACATGACAAATTTTTAATTTTATTTAACAATTAAATTGACTCTAAAAAATTATTTTTAAAAAATTGCATTTTTAATTTTTTTAAATTTCTAAATGTCAATTTTTTTTTTCTTATGTTTTTTGCCATAATTTATTTGTTAAAAAAATTCTAAAAATTATTAAATATCTGCTAACTTTATTATCATATTTATGACACTGAAGTTAATAAATATAAATTTTTTTATAATTTTATAGCAATAAAATTATGATGAAAAAAATTATAATACTAAAGTTAGACGACGTTTTTAATTTTTTGATTTCTTTTTAATAGTTAAATTAGAACAAAAAAATATTTTTTAAGATTTTCATTTACAGTTTTTAAAGTTTTCCACAAATGAAAATTTTTTTTATGAAAAAAAATCTCAAGAATTTTTAAATGTCGGCTAACTTAATATTCATAAAAAAAAATTTAATAAAAAAATCTGCATGTAAAAATTAAAAAAAACTTATTACTCTTATTTAAAAAAAAAAAAAAAAGATTTAAAACGATTCAACCCATGCAAAATCTATATCTATATATTTGTAAAGTTGAGTCTTTTTTAATCGCTTTGAGCCATTTCGAATCTTTTCAAATCTCTTTTTCTAATCACTATAGTATAAATTTTTTAAAACATTTTTTTATTGTAATTGACTTGTCATTAGCAGCAAAAAATAACGTCATGTTCAAAATTCCTAAATTCTCTAGTACTATTTATGAATATTCGTTTGTTGTTTCGGCTATCAAGTTCTGGAAAAATTTGCCACCTGAAATTCCAAATTCTCTTAGCTTCCCAAGCGTCACAAAAAAAAAGTTGATTTTTTGATAGATTTCACTCAACAAGAAGTTAAAAAATTAATAATCGTCGACTTGAATTCAACAAAACATTAAAAAAAAAAAAATTTGTGCCGCTTGGGTTAGAATCATTTAAATCCAAGCTATTCAATTTTCTTTTAAGTTTAGATTAGAGTTTAAGTTTAGAACTGCAAAATTTTTATGCCTAATTTTTTTTAATATTGTTGCATTTTTTATAACTTTTAAACCTTAATTTCACGTATTTTTTCTTAAAAATATTTATATTCAATTTTTTTCTAATCATAAATAAAATTTTTCATCAATTTGGCAGACAAACTTTTTTTTTAATAAGAAAAATTAAAAAAAATTTTTAAATGTTAGTTACTGTGTTTTAAAATTGGGCAGCCGTCTTTCTGATTGTATTAAATTTTTTATTTACTTAAGCTATAGGTACTTCAAATTTTAATTATATTATTTATGAATAATACAAAATTTTTTATACTTAAGATAATACTTCTAATCTTAATTTTATTAGTTACGTCACTTATGTGAAACAAAATTCTATGTATTTAATTTTTGCTAAGGTAAAAGAGCCCATTAGTGGCAGGGACCTCATTAGTGACATTTTCATCGATTTTGCGACATATCTAATTAATTAAATTATTTATTTCTGTTACGACTTTTTTTAATTCTAATCTTTGAGACTTCTAGATCATAGAAATGTTTAATTTTAGTTTCAAGTAGAATATTTTTACAATATAAGAAAAAGTGCTACTAATCGGTCTTAGAGCTACCGCTAATGGGGTCTTTTACCCTATTTGGGTTTATGCCTTGGCATTTAAATTCTATAAATAAATAAAAAATTAAAATTAAAAAAATTGACAGTTGTCAGCTAACTTCAGTATCATAATTCATAAGTATTTAAATATCAATCACTTAATTAATTAAACATTAATAATTCATTACAGTTGCGGTACTTACAGTTGGAGCGACAGTACTATGTTCAATATTTTTTTGCATTTTAACAACAGTCGTTGCAATTGGAATAATGTGTGCGTTAACTTGGTCAGTTGTTTATTATTTCTTGACAGTGTTGAGAAATATTCGAAGTGCACAATAAATTCCCAGTATAAAATTTATTTAATTTTAATATAAGACTCTATTTACAAGTATTTAGAGTTATTTAATACATAAATAATATATTTATAAAATTATTAATATTTTATTATCTAATGTTATTAGTTATTATTTGGAGACTTGGAATTTTCAGAACACTTTAAAATTTCAGCCCAAAGTTTAGCTTCAATTTTTTTTTCGTTTTTGCCCAGAGAAAACGACTGAATATACTCTTGCCAATCCGTGATAACTGTATATTTGATTAAGGAATAATCACTTTTAAAAAATTGCATTTTAATTTAGTGGTTTTTTTTTTTTTTTATCATTTTTTATATCAATGCAAGTTGTACGAAAAAAAATTGTAGAAAAAAAAGAAGTCAAAAATAAAAGTTGATATTAAATAAAACTTGTTAATGATAAAATTTATGGTAATTATTTACAAGTGGGGTCAACCCCATTTTGGGTCATAACTAGGTGAAAAATGAACATTTAAAATTTTTTTTTATTCTGCTTGTTTTTACGGCGCATTTATGATAAAAAATGTCGTGAAAAAAAAAAATAAAGATTTTGATAGCCTTTTGCATTCAAAAGTTGGAAAAAAATTTTGGCTCTCATGTTTTTTGGATAAAATTTCTATTTTATGTTTTTTTGAAAAATACATAAAAAAGTGAATTTAAAAAAAAAAGTTGATTATCACAATTTTGACGAATTTTCAAAAAAATTTATAAATTTTTCAGAAAATTGTGATAATCAACTTTTTTTTTTTAAATTCATTTTTTTATGTATTTTAAAAAAAAAAAATATATCAAAACTATATCAATAGTGCGTGGTCTATTTATTGATGAAGACCCTATCATTAGACGATCACACAGAATAGCGACCAAAAATAACAACATCTTCAATATACCAAATTTTGTCACTGCAACCTACGAACATTCGTTTGTCATATCAGCTATACGGTTTTGGCAAAATTTGCCTCCAGAAATTTTTAATTCTCTTGGTTTAAAATCTTTTAAAACGAGAGTATTCGATTTTCTTAGAAATCTTGAAGAATAATAAAATAGTGAGCTGGTAAAAATTGATCATTCCAAAATATTTAAAAAACAATGTATCCACTTGTGTATTATGTAAATCTTATATCTTAAGCTGTGATGTAAATTTTATATTTTAATATGTATGTATTAACAGTACTTATGTGAAGTATAACTTTATTTATATAATTTTTGCCATTCGGCTTCGCGCTTTGGCATTTAAACTTAATAAATAAATAAAAAAATAAAATAGAATCAAATGGAAATTTCGTTCCACAAAATGATAATTAAAATGATTGACCCGACTTGTAAATATTTACCAAATTTATGAATAATTAAAGACACTGAAGTTAACTAACATTAGAATTTTTTAAATAATTTAATAGCAACGAAATTATTATGAAAAAAATTTTCATAAATTCCACTTGTGAAAATTGAAAAAAATTATTAGTGAAAATTTTTTTAAAGAATTTTTCTTGTAATTAATTTTTTATAAAAATTTAGTCAGCTAACTTCAGTATTATAATAATTAATATGTTGATTAACGTAAAAAGGATACATCCACTGGTACTATCATCGATGACTTGTTCATTCCATACAACGCCCGTTAAATTTTTATAATACTTCAACCTGAGTCTAAAAAATAAAATAGAATTAAAATATGAGTACATCGAAGTTAAAAAATTTGAATATTAAATTTAAAGATTACTTAAAATTATTTTACCTTTCGAGTTTTAAAAGTTGTTCATCTTTAGGATTAGGTTTTATACGTTTTAGTGTTTTTATTTTTACTTCATACTTGTTATTTTCTAATCTTAAAGTCTCCAGTTCGTCCATTAGCTCTTCCTTAGAAAAAAAAAAAAAAAAAGTTCATTAATGATACTGCAATCAGCAGACACTCAACAATTTAAAAATTTTTGTCTTTAATTAAATAAAAACTAAAAAAAATAATTTAAAAATTTGCACATGAAAATTAAGTTAGCCGACATTTAAAAATTTTTATAATTTTTTTTTATTGAAAAAATCATTACAAAAAAATAAAAAAAAAAATTACACGTCTCAAAAATTTCAAAAACTGTAAGTGCAATTTTAAAAAATATTTTTTTGTTCTTATCTAATTATTAAAAAAAAATAAAAAAATTTAGAACGTCGGCTAACTTTAATGACATAATTTGCACTTATAGTTTTTCATATTTTCTACATGTGAAATTTTTTTTTTAATAATTTTTTCTATAAAAAAAAATCATGAAAATTGTCAAATGTCTGCTATATTAATTTTCATGTTCATTATCATATTTTTAAATAAATAAATTCATTAAAAAAAAAAAAAAAAAAAAATTTCTTACCATGACATCAAGTTGATTTTCAAGCTCATTCGCTAAACATACTACTTTTTGCTGCTCAACAGCTGATTTATCTTTTTCATACGATACTGTTTTCTTTAAATCTTGTATAATTTTATTTTGATCTAAAATAAAATTAGTGAAATTAATTATCTAGTAAAAATACTCTTGAAGTTTAAGAATACTTACTCGCAATTATTTCACTGTTTTTCAGATTGACTTCATTTGATTCTTTAGTTAAGGTATGAAATTTTTCTATTGTATCTTGTTCTCCAGAAACTGCAGCAGAAAATTTAGCTCGATGAGCTAATATTTTCTCCATTGTTGAATAATTATAATTATCAACAAATATATTGTTTATAAAAGTGTCAAACGGTTTTGAGAGGTTAGGATATATTTTTGAATCTGTATTTGATGGTGTTTACAAACATGGAATGGCGTCAATGGTCTACTTTACCTTAGTTGGATAATTTTTGTTTTTATAAAGTGCGCGAGTTATTTAAAAATAATAATAAATACTTAATAACTTCTTAATTAGTATTCACAAAAATATGACATTAAAGTTAACAGTCACTTAACAATTTTTTAATTTTATTTAATAAAAAAATTTATCCCAAAAAATCATTTTAAAAAAATTGCATTTATTATTTTTAAAAATTTTCAAATGTCAATTTTTTTTTGCCATAATTTATTTGTTATATTTATTTATTTATTTATTTATTTATACCAGGATACAAAACATATATACATACATATTACATCGTAGAAATATAAAATGCATGTCCCTACAGAGGTGTTTGTAGACACCTGCGCGTAGGCCCGGTAAGGCTTGTTCACTTTATACATTACATTTTCCTGTCATTCATAATTTTTTATATAAAAACAAACTTTTTTTTTTTTTATACTATGAATAATTATGAGGATATTTGATTTGCTTTGAAACATTCATAATTAGATTTAAACGTTAATTATTTATGTTTATTTTCATTTGACAATAACCAATATTTTAATTTTGTTCTGATCGTTTTATTTTTATGTGTAAGAGTTTTTAGATGATTTGGTAATTTATTGTCGTATTTAATGGCAACAAAATAAGAATTCTTACATGCTATCTCTTTTTTTACTCTAGGTATACTGATACTTTTGTATCTTGTAGTACTAGATTGTCTTTGGTATAAGTCCCTACAACGTTTATAATGACAATATAGTGATTCCAATATAAAAGAGTCTTTGATTCCCAGAATTGATCCTTGATCATCAAATATTTTAGTGAGCTTATTCTGTACTCTGAGCAGTAAGTTTATGGTTGTCTTGTAACAACCACCCCATGCACAAATGCCGTAGTTTACAATACTTTCAAAAAGAGTATGGTAAATAGTTTTCAAGGCTTTTTTGTCTAATATATTTTTTAATTTATAGAAGATATATAGGAAATATCTAATTTTTTTTACAACATTTGTTATATGGACATCCCACCTCATATTATGATCAAAAATCAATCCCAGATATTTACAGCTATTAACTCTAATAATTTCTTTGTTATATATTTTTAGTTCAAACAATTTTGGAATGCTACTTTTATTGCAACCAAAGATTTATAGAATTTTAAAAACTATTAAATAGACAGCTAAATTAATTTTCATAAAATAATTTATTTTCAAGGACTAACTGATGGTGATCATTTTTATTTATTTTAAAATTCTTAAAATAAAAACTAAAATGACATTAAAGTTAGCAGTCACTTGATAATTTTTTAATTTTGTTTAATAAACAAATTTTTTCTGAAAAATTATTTTGAAAAAATTGCATTTATAATTTTTTAATAATTTTACATGTCAATATTTTTTTCTTATTCTTTTTGTCATAATTTATTTGTTAAAAAAAATTCTAAAACTTATTCAATATCTGCTAAATTAATTATCATAGAATTAAATTATAGTTTTAAATAAATATAAGTCCTTAAAAATATTTGAGGAAAGTAAATTAATTTTATCTGCTATTTTTTATTTTTTTATCAACATCATTTTACAAAAATCGAGACAGTCAGGTCTTTAAATATATAATAGATAATATAAAATATGTTACAACAATGGACAATTGTACTGCTTGCAAGGTTAAAAAATGAGCAAGTTCTTGAAAACAACAACAGTTAATGTGTAACACCTAAATATTACAGTGAAAGCTGTTAAAAGTTATCCAGGTTGTTATTCTTGCTCTTGTTAGCATTTTATAAGAAATTAAAACAGAACTACGGTAACTTTTAATAACTTTCACTGTAATATAGTATTAAAGATAATTAAAATACCTATCTTATAAATAGATGAAGATTATACTAAAATACTATATTTAAAATTTTTATCAATTAATTATAAATTATAAAATACTTTTCGAAAGTGTAATTGTTAATGAGGTGGGGAGTCTTTTTTTGGATCAAAGTCCGCACATTTTTCAATTTCTTCCCAAAGTTTTTCTTCTATTTTCTCGTCGTCATTGTCATAGTGAAATTTTTGCGTGTAATCCTTGCGATTTGTGACCACTATAGTACTTTAGTTAAGAAAAAGTTTGCCTTTAAGAGGGAACACCACTGTGACAATCGAAAAAAAGAGGTGATTTTCGGGAATTTTTTTACCAGGGAAAATACAGGAATTTGGAGATCGGATTTTTTTTATTTTATTAAGGGTACATAAAAGATTATCACCCTAAATTTTTATTAAAAAATATTTAATTGTTACAAAGTTATTAACAATCTCGTAGAGCACTAGAAAAAATTTCCTCTTCATGGTCGGTTCGATAACTCAAAAACGGATTATCTGAAAAAATAAAAACCCAAATTGCTTTTTAATCAGTAAGGATGTAGTTATCGTCGCACGTACAGAATTTTGAAAATTTTAATTTAAAAAAAAATGGCGACTGATTGACAATTTTCTCACTATTCTTACTGTATTTATTTTTTAATCCGGCTAAAAAAATCTTTAAAATAAAAACTTTTTTAATTCCGTACGTGCGACGATAACTACATCCTTACGGGTTGCGGTCAACCAGTCAGATCGACAACATTCTGAATTATTAAAATTCTAGAAAATTAAAAATTCCGCTACATTCAAAGTTTATAAAATACATTAGCTTAAATAAAATACCAGCCGAAAAACAATTTTGTAAATTATAAAACACCGGGTTATCGAATATAAGTAAATATAAATCTTATATTCCTCAAGAGTTAAAATCAATTTGATTTCGAAAAAGGTTCGTTCCGACGTATATTCATCTGAATACTCATCTATCCGAATAATGATTCGGTTGAAAATTACTCATCTAAAAAATTGGAAATTTTTTTTAGATGGTCCACCTTTACAAGCATGAAATTCGAGTGTTTTCCATACATGCTTGTAAGTTAAAATAAAATTAATTTTAAATTAATTAAAATAGTTAATTTAAAAAAATTTTTAATCTAAATATAAAATTATTTACATTTTTCGGCTAAATGAGTGTTCGTCTGTTCCTTCATTCTGGCGTGCAAATTTTCGTTATGTTTTTTAATTTATTGAGACTTTGAAAGATATTCTATTAATATAGATTTACTTTTTTCTTCATTTAAGATTATATTTTTCGGAATTTTAAAATTTGTAAAATTAATTATTTTAAATTACATTCAATATTTACTTTCTAAGTTCTAATAATTTATTAATTCGGAATGTTGTCAGTCTGACTAGTTGACTGCAACCCATCCTTACTGATTAAAAAGCAATTTGGGTTTTTATTTTCAAATGATCCGTTTTTGAGTTATTAAGCCGACCATGGAAGGGGAAATTTTTTCTAGTACTCTACGAGATTGTTAATAACTTTGTAACAATTAAATATTTTTCAATAAAAATTTAGGGTAATAATCTTTAATGTACCTTTAATAAAAAAAAAAAATCCGATCCCCAAATTCCTGTATTTTCCCTGGTAAAAAAATTTCCGAAAATCACCTCTTTTTTACGATCGTCACAGTGGTGTTCCCCCTTAATTAAATTAAAAATGTAAATCATGCTCAATTTGTTTAAAAAAGGATACCGCCTCTGATTGAAGTTCTTACATCCTGATAATCCCATTTGATATTCGTTAACATTCTGTAGTACATCAATTTTGTTCTGAAATAACAAAAGTTAAACATAATTAATAATTACGTTAATTGACTGAATAAAATTATTATTTATTACCTTTCCCTTTCGAAAATTTGGTCATCACTGCTGGTATTTTTTTTAGGTTTCATTTGATTTTTCCTCGATTCAATTTCTATGTTTTCTGCTATTGTGTGTGTTTTTTCAGTATTTAGTTCCTCCTAAAATAAAATACGGATATTTATTAATAAGTAATTTAAAATTACCTCAATAAAAACGTGATAAATTTTCAATACATTTTAATTATTTAAATTTCAGTTAAAAAATATAAAGAAAAAAAAATGTATTTTAGTAAATAAATCAATTACCAATAATTCAGCCTGACTTAGTAATTCTTTTTCTAAAGATTTCTTTTCTTTTTCTCCAATTAATAATTTATCTTTTAAATCAGCAATTTTGTCTTTTTGATTTTGTATCTTCTCTGCGTCTTCTGTCAAAACCAATACAAAATTCAGTTATTATTTATTATTAAACATATTAATTATAAAAACTTACGTGATAGCTGATCATAACTTTGACGGTTTAATTTATCCAATTGTGATAGAAAATCATTAAATTTTTCTTTTACTTGTTCACTACTCGGTACTGAACAGATATATCTGTCACGGTGATTTAAAATTTTTTCCATTTTTTAAATATTTAACAACAATTATTTTATGTCTAACGACTTTTCAGATTTTTAATAATAACAACACAATGAAAGTAACGAAGAATTCAAGGTTAGATTTTCAAAAACAAATTGTGTATTAATATTTATTTTTTTTTTTTCAGCCACATGGGGGCAGTAAATTAAAGTTTTAAAATAAAATATCATCTAAAACAGAGGTCAGCGTTGTACGTTGTATGTTTACGTACACAAAACTGAAATTAGCTGACAATTATCAATTTTTTTAGTTGTTACAACAAATCAATTACAATAAAAAGAATACTTTAAAAAATTGTTACTTTTTATGACACTAAAATTAGCAGACACTTGAGTATTTCTTAATTTTGTTTAACAGCTGTTTTACACATTCATTGTAAGAGCTGCGCAGTTCCTGGCAAAAAGAAAAGATATTGCAAATTTAAACACAGCCGTTTAAATAATATTAGGGGATATGTTTCTAAGGTTTGAGAGTAATGTAAAAGAAGTAAAGAGGAATAAAAATGAAAAAAGTCTATGAAAATTAATTTAGCAGATATTTTATAATTTTAAGAATTTTTTTAACAAATAAATTATCTCAAAGAAAATGAGAAAAAAAATTGACATTTAAAAAATTAAAAAAATAAAAAATCCAATTTTTTAAAAATGATTTTTTGGAGCAAATTTTTTTTTAAAGAAAATTAAAAAATTGTCAAGCGACTGCTAACTTTAATTTCATAAAAAGTCTCGCTAAGAAACAGAAATCAATAACTTGGGCGTCATAATAAACTAATTAAAAATGAAGGGGTATAATATTATAAATTATTTAGACTTAACATTTTTTTCCCGTACAATAAACTTTAAAATAATAAAACAATATTTTATTTAATTAATTAAAGGCACAATTACTTTGTTAAGGGACTAAATTTGATAATTATGGCGGCACGATAAACTAATTAACAATAAAGGGATCTAATTATAAATTCTTAGACTTTGAATTTTTATATAAAATATAATATCTTTATATAATGTACACTGTAAAAAATTTCAGTGTAAAAGTTGGACTCCAAAGACTTTTACACCGTCGTGTAAGTATGAAAAGTCGGTGTAAAATTTCCTCCGTGTGAAATTTTCACTTTTGTTTTGACATGTTGATATACACTAGCAAGAGTAATAATTTTCTATGACTACCAGACACATGTAGAGTAATGTCAATTTACAGGTAAAGTATATGAATTTTTCTAATAATTTTATGGTTTCTTTTTTTTTATAATTTTAATTAAACTTTTTGACACATCTATCTATTATTGCCAGATCTTTATATGCTAAACCCTAAATCAATTCATTAAAAAAAAAATGTTTTTCAAAATATTTTAGTACGGCTGAAATTTTTATATGATGTTATTTAAGTATCTGAAAACGCAAAGTTAATTTTCCAAACAATAATTCAATTATTAAACCTTTAGCTAGACCGATCTAAAAGTGAAAAGTGATGTGGTATCATTTTGCTTGGTCTAGAAATAGTTTTCAAGTATAAAGTTCAGAGAAAGGACTAAAACCCATTGAATTAATTTGTGGATTGATATGGTATTAAAATAATAATTTATTATTGTACAAAATTAAGATAGTAATTAACTTCAAGTATGAAAATAAACAAAAATTTTGATGGTCACATGAAAATGAAGGTTACATATTTTAATTCATAGTTGAATCACAAAAAACGGAAGCATCTTGATAATCATCAACATCATCTTCATTACTGCTATCATTTTCATTGTCATCATCGTCTTTAGAAGTGTTATCGGTTATCATTTGGTAATAAGTTTAGAATCAATGACTTCAAAAGTTCTTCTTTTTACTGGTGGTGGAAACAGGTCATTATCAATATTTTGATGCATTATTTCTACAGTATCATGCAAAATTTCTTCTCCACTATGAATATGATTAATGTATCTAGGAAATTTATAGAAGCAGGTTACATCTGTGCATGGCGATGATTTCCGAATAGTATCAGGTGGATTAATTTCCGAGCGATGTTCAGATGAGTCAGTTTTTAGCTCCTCCAGTGTAGTATAGTTGCAGCAATGTCGATAACTATTAAGAATGTCAATGATTCTTCGACTACTCGTAAGACTTTTAACTGTCTTACCAAGAGTTATGTGTTTTGATGGTTTAATAGTGCCATTAGTCACACAAAAAATAGCATCAGAGGCCATTGAGTTGCTTAATCGATTACAGTCTACATCATTTCTGCGAGAAATATCTTTACCTTCAATCAATACTTAAAAAAATCGATCTAATTTTTCAGGAATCGTACATTCGCCATTGATTAAATCACTTGGCTGGATTTTTGACGGTGATTTTAATTGATCCATTTCTAAAATTTTCCTCGAGTCTCGTCAAATCATCATCTTCTAATAAACTACAATCTTTATGCATGATAATTTTTTTTTTATTTTTTGAAATAATTTTGATCGATTTTTTAAATTGTTTCAATATTTTCTCTTCAAGATAATGATTTGTCATTAAATTTACATCTAACTGAGCCTGAAGCTTTAATTCATCATTGTAGGTGTCACAAAGAGAAGATAACAGCTCTTAATAACACCAAATTTACAGGATATAAATATTTACAAGTAAAAAAAATTGATCGATAATCAATAACTTACTTTTGAGACGCTATAAATTTAATGCCTATATTACTTACATTCGTTCTTCCTTTGGCCATAAAAAAAAAGAATGGTCTTTATCTTTTTCTGATCTCCTTAGACATCCTTTCACATTACATCGAACCATGTTTTTTCAATTAGTTAAAAAAAATTTTTTTATTAAAATAAAAATCAAGTGTTGTTAACCGTTACAAGCAACTTTGGTATTACCAGTATGACGCATTATTTTAAATCGCCATGACAGTACTTGAGTACTTGGACACAAACATCAGATAGCATAAACTGACGCTATCTGGACCAGTGCCACCAGATCGTACACATCGTGTTATTGTTATTTCGTCTAGGGGTCTGCGCAGATCCCCAGTGGGAGAAAAGTTGCTCGTTCTCAATTCTCAATTGAAATTTCCCAAAACGTGGATAAATTTGTTGCAGGTGATAATTTTTTCAATGAAATAAATAAATAAATTCATATATTAACAAATGTTAATTATAATACGCATAACTATTAATACTTAAATATTTTCTAATAAACTAAAATTAAATTTTTGAAAAATAATTTTACAAATTAAAAAAGAATTTAACTGAAAATTTTTCACAAAAATAATAATTTTGTTAATTTTTAATGTCATTAAATTTTCATTAACCCAATGGTATCATAAATTTCAAAATTTTAAACTTTATTAGTTTGTTTAGATATTTATTGTATCTATTTTGTTCGGAAACGAATAAAAAGATAAGGATTCAGGTGATATAATTTCAACATCTGCTCGTTTGTCCGCTTATCCCATTACACTTTCTTTGTCTTTTTGAAAATTAATGAAAATTGTTCTCTGAAAAAATTTTACTTTAAACTAGTTATTATTAATTAGACAGATAATAATGAAATGCAATTAAAGGTTAAAAAGACGTTTTATGATGTTTTAAATTTTGAAATTTATGATACCATTGGGTGAATGAAAATTTAATGACATTAAAAATTAACAAAATTATTATTTTTGTGAAAAATTTTCAGTTGAACTTTTTTTTAATTTGCAAAATCATTTTTCAAAAATTTGATTTAAATTTATTAGAAAATATTAAAGTATTAATAGCTATGCGTTTAACAATTTAATTATTGTTTGGGTTTTTAGATACTTAAATAACATATAAAAATTTCAGCCGTACTAAAATATTTTGAAAATCATTTTTTTCTAATTCAAAATTAGCGTTTGGCACAGTTTAAATAACAATAAAAATATCTGGCAATAATAGATTGATGTGTCAAAAAGTTCAATTAAAATAATAAAAAAAAAATACCAACTCTAGCCTTCGTGCGTCGTTCAAATTATGAAGGGTAGAAGCTCTAGTTCTACTTCTACCCTCCATTGTTCAAATCAAACATATTTTACTGAATGGGAGAAATCGAGGGAGTGGGAGAAGACCCGAAGATTCCCGACGGCAACATTTTGCGAAACAACGTGAAGCACTTGTACTGTATAACCCCAAAATATTCCTTGCAATTCAGTGAGCATGATGTCGTGACACTTGTTGGAGTTGTTGATTACAGTATTACTTAATTATTATTTAATCGTGTTTTTATCTACTGCTAAATTTTTTATTCTATAAAAATGGCAGATCTTTCTAAAGTGCCACTCAATGTTTTGTCTGCAGAATCAAAGTTTATATTATCTTCGTTATTAAATCCCATAAAATGCATTCCTACAGAAGATGGATATCCGAGGTTGGTTGTTTATGTTTTTTAAAAATAAAATTTATCATGATACTGAAATCAGTAGACATCTGACAATTTTATTTATTTTTATTAAAAAAAATTTTGCACTTTTTTTTTTAATTTTTAGATGTAAAATTTTTCTGTTAAAATTTTTTTATAATAATTTAGTTATAAAAATCTAAAAAATTTACAGATGTCTTTTAATTTCAATATCATAATTTATCAACATGTGACATTAATTTAATTTTTTTTTTTTTTTCAGAGATTGGAGAGGTCTTGCCGATTTATTTTTATTAGGTGGTGAATTAATACCAGCGATAGCTAACGAACCAGATCCTGTAGCATTTATATTAAATTTGGCGATACAAAGAAATCCTCAACTCGTAATAAAAGACTTACAAGTAATTTTAGAAAAAATAGAGCGTTGGGATGTCTTCGATGATACGGAACCAGTTTTTGGTAAATTATTTAATTTAATTTTTTGTATCGAATATTTATGTTGATAAAATTCTCAATGAAGAAATTAAAATAAAAATTTTTTTTTTAAATAGATAAAGACGCACAAGAATATTATAAACGAGTGGAAAGAAATCAGACATCTGCTGATGTTGTTGATAATGATATTGAAAATCAAATATTAACCTTTGATGATCTTCACCGAGTTAAAACAGGATTATCAACTCAGCACTACGATGCATTTTTGGTTTATGCTGACGAAGATATTGATTTTGCGCAAGAAATTATTGAGAATTTAGAAAAAATACACAATTTAAAGGTAATTGAGTTAAAATTTTATTTGAAATGCAATGAAGATAATCTACTTTCAAGTAACTGATATTTAAATTGAAAATGACACTTGAATATTAAATGAATTAACTCTAATTATTTATTTTAATTTCAGCTTTTTATAAAAGACAGAGATTTTGTAAGAGGAATACCATTTGAACATGTAGCAGTAATGGATATGATATCTGAACGTTGTAATAGACTAATTGTGGTATTATCCCCAAATTTTATAAAGAGCTCTGCCAATGATTTTATCATAAAATATGCTCAAGGCGTTGGTATAAGTAAGTATTGATATATTTTTATTGAAAAAATTATTACAAAAAAATAATTGAATTGAATTGGGGGGGGGGGGAGGGGTAGGGATATTGTAACTGACATTGGGCTAAGCACTCAGTCCTGTTGGACCATTGTACTCAGCCCTCCTAGGTCAATTACTTTATGTCGCCGAGGAATTGGCCAGGCCTGTCTGCTTCAGAAAGTGGAGCAGCCGTCCCACGCCAATCTCCAGTACATCGGTCGACTCTCCATTGCGGAATCCTAGTATGTTCTCTCGAACTGTTTCTAGTTCCTCGCAATGGAGGATTAGGTGTCGAGGAGTTTCCTCCTCTAATCGACATCTGGGGCATACAGAACTCTCTGAGATGCCCATATGCTTTAGATGTCTGCCAGTTGTCCAATGTCCTGTGATGAACCCGACAGTTAGCCTTAGCGTTTTCTTGTCGAGCCCTATCAAGGACAGGCCTAGTGTCCTAGAGGGTCCTTTTATTAGTGCCCTCGTATGCAGCATGCCTTTTGCTTCAGCCCACACTTTTTGGAACTTATTGTCAGCCCATTGAGAAGTGTGTTGCTTAATGAGGCTGAAAGGCGCTGCTATGTTGACCACTGGCTCAGAATCCCTCTTGCGGGCTCCTGCCTTCGCCAGTTCATTCGCTCTGTCGTTTCCTGCGTTCCCGCTATGACCCGGTATCCATAGGAGTTTGACTCTGTTATATATCGCCAGTTCGTCCAGCGACTTCATGCAGCTACGCACCAGCCTCGAAGACACTTCTATTTGTTCTAGTGCTCTGAGCGCAGCGCAACTATCGCTACAGATGTAGATGTGCTTGTTTCTGTGATTGAGCTTTTTGATGTGCTCTACACAGGCCCAAATCGCATATACCTCTGTCTGAAAAATCGATCCAGTGTCCCCTAATTGCAGAGGAATTTCTTTTTTTTCCGTCCACTACTGTAGATACCAGCCCCTGCCCCTCTTTCCATTTTGGAGCCGTCCGTATACCAGACTAGCCCCGCTGGGGACAGGATGCTCTTGCTTTCTTCTTCCCATTCCTGCCTGCTTGGGATGAAGACTCTGTAGTGATGACTGAAGTGGTAACTACGAGGGCTCATGTCTCCTCCCTGGGCTAGGAACCCATCGAGTCCCCTATCCCTTAGGATGGATGCATGTCCCGTCTTAGTCCTTGTCCAGTATCCGTTAAAATGCAGTCTCATTGCTGTTTTCATAGCAAGAGCTTCTGCTGTGATGTGTGAGGGCTCCAGGTTCAGGAGTGCCCCCATTGCCAGGGTAGCTGTGGTTCTTAGAGCCCCAGTTATCCCTAGTAAAGAAAGTCTATAGACCTTAAATAGTGTCTTGATGTTGATGTTCTTCTTAAGGGAAGGCCACCACACCACAGAGGCAAAGGTGAGCTGTGGTACCAAAATTGCAGTGTATATCCACTTGATCAATTTCGGTCTCAGACCCCATGTTATGCCAAATATTCTTCTGCATGCCCAGAAAGTGGCAGTTGCTTTCTTGGTCTGCTTTTCTATGTGGCTTCTCCACGTGAGCTTACTGTCCAGAGTTACGCCTAGGTAGCGTACCTCCTTTGAGAATTTAAGCTCCGTGCCAAAGATTGAGGGAGCTGTGATTTTCAGTTTCCTCCTACAAAAAAATAAAAAAAATTTTCATTTGTAAAAAACTTTAAATGCAATTAAAAAAAAAAATATTTTTTTGTTCCAAATTAATAAATGAAAAAAAAAACAAAAAAAAATTATAAACGTCGGCTAACTTTAGTATTATATAAAAATGATACTGAAATTAGCAGATATCTGACAATTTTTTGAATTTTCATAACGAATTATTATAAAAAAAAAAAAATATTAAAAAAATTCAGAGATAATTTTCTAAAATTTCTACATGTGGAATTTTTTAGATAGATTTTTTTCATTAGAATTTAATTGCTGTAACGATCTAAAAAATTATTAGATGTCTGTAAAATTTAGTATCATGAATACACTATGTATCAATTTAAAATTTTTACTAAAGAAATAAATAATTTATAAATTTTTTTTTACAGAACAAAATCTTCGAAAAATAATACCGTGTTTATATCAAGAATGTGAAGTTCCCAAACCATTACAATTTATGACACTTCTTATGTACAATAAATCTAATGTATTTTTCTGGCAAAGACTGAGAGACTCTGTTGCAACGGTGTCCATTGATACCCCTAAAATGTATGTATACAATTTCTTATTTACTTTATCAATTAAAATTTCTTTTATCAATGAGGCATAATCGACTACTGAAAACAACTAAATCTAATAAAAACTGTCATCAATAGTCCAAGAAACAGAATATTAGCTCTTATTAATAGATATTACATCACAGACAAATTTTTTCGATGGTTTTTATAAAACATTCTTGGCTAAATTAAAAGCAATCTTGTAAGTTCATAATGCTGCAATGCTTTTACTTATGTATATTAGTCTTTCTTCTACACGGAAATAAGTAAACTGTAATGAATAATAGTCGATTTATTTATAATAAGTAATGATTGTTGCTGTAAGATGGACAGCGGTGCTTCTCGGCCTAGCTTACCTTACTTCTACCCGCTCTGTAAGCACATCTGGGGATTTTGTAGGAGTAGGTATTTAGTAGCATAACATTAAAAATTTTATATTTGCTATTAATTTGTTATATTTGTGACAAATTTGAGTTATATATACATTAGAAATAAACTTTTTTTTTTTTTTTTTTTTAAATTTCAATTATTTTATTTCTTAAATAAAATATAAAGCACTTTTTATAATTATTTATTTATTTATAATAAGTAATGATTAACTGCAAAAAACTACCATTTCAAATAGTAAAATCGTGATTTTACTGATCCCTCCATAATATTTATCATTTAAATGCTACAATTTATACTCTACATGGAAGAAAATACTATGTCAAACAGTAATATTTGCTATGTGAATGTCGAAAATTTTAAAGTATAATAAGTATACATGGGGTATTCCATGCCAAATCGACCACTTTTGACCCCGACCCTTTTCGATTTGGCCGAAAGTTTTCCATCCTTTTCTACCCTATAAAAAACGGTTCTCAGAATTTTTTTGAATTTTTTTACCTAACTCCAAAAAAGTTATGAATTTTTCAAAAAAATGGCTTTTTTATTTTCAAATAGCCATAACTTTTTCAAAACTAAACATTTAGGTACCTTTTTTTTTCAAAATTTTTGTTTTTAGATGTACTTTCCGATAAAAAATATTAAAAAATTTTTGTAAGTCAATACATATGGAATTTTTCAGTTTTTTGACAAAAATCAATGCTTTTTCGAAGTTCGAAATTTTTTTTTTTAATTTTTTTTTT